ATAGAATAAGTGATGGAATGAGTTTAGATTGTTTGAATCTCTGGTATTTGTCACTGTGTTCTTCAAAATATTTGTCAAAGCAAACAAAAGCAGCAATAAAAAATATCCTATATAAAGTTCTATAGTACATTTATTCATATAATCTAATAAATCTTATACTGTAAATCGGGATATCTGAGGAAAAGAAAGATGAAATTCCTGAACCAAAGAGGTCACGATATTAAATCTGAGAGCCAGAATTTGTGTATTCATTCAATAAGAATGCTCTACTATTCTTTGTATTTACTCATGTTTAAATCAACAGGGGTTTTATTGTAGGAAGTCCATAAATTAAAATTTTAAAAGAACCTAGATTTATATAGTTTTAGCTATGAAAGTTATCATGAATATCATAATTAGAGTTTTACATTTGAAAATGTGAATTAGGAAAAAAATAATTAAATCACCATATAAGATGGATAATGCCATGGGTAAAACAAATAGTTTATTTGGTGATTTCAAATGCACTAAACTGTTATGCAAACAAATCTACTTTGGATAGTCCTAGAATTAAGAAATAACATTTGCTATGACAGTATGATACTGAAACTTTGGTAAATTACTTGATACACAGAAATTTTTAAATTATAGCAAAGCAGATGAAATTATAAAATTCTCATGAATAAAAATGCAGACATGCAAATCTATTCAATTTTATAAAACATCAACACTTAAAAGTGCCTTCCTATTTAATTCATTTTTACAGTTTGTTCAAGCTTGTTCTTTGCATATACACATGTATATATATATATATATATATATATACTTGTTTTTCAAGAATAATGTTCTGGTCTAGAAAGATACCAAAACAACCAAAATTCAGAGAAATGCACAAGCTGAAGATGAATAAACACAAAAGCTCTCTTTCGAAAACCTAATGAACTGGGAATGAACTGTTAAAGCATCTGCAAAAGAAGACCAAGAACAGAGCACTTGTAATTTTTAATTTAAAATAAGTAAAGAAAGATCCATGATAAACAATGGGGTCAAATAAATGTTAGATCATCACATAATAGAACTATTATTCTCTCTTCCCACAGCATTTTTAGGCTTAATGAATGTCAAATATTTTAAGATGTAAATAATTCTATATTTTATAAAATGGTGATTATTTTAAACAAGTATGATTCAAGTCTTAGATTTTCCCTAACATTACCTTATTTTAAGAATAACTAGAAGAATACTATTCTCTATGACAGTTGCAAATGCAAGACTTTGAAATTAGAAATTCAGAAGTCTTAGCTCCATTTTGTCAGGCTTATTAGGTATTTGTATGTAAACCAAAAATGAAGAGCAGTCATTCCCAAATTCTTAATTTTTGGGGTAGCTGTCTAAAACCAGAATAATTTGAACAAAATATTTATATAATAATGAGCATTTCAAAAAAAGTAAGAAAATCTCATTAAAAACTGTATTAAATATATGCTGAAGTTTAGAATAAAACATGCTGATAAGATTAGTCAACAAGCCCAGTGTACAGTGTTTAATAATTTTAAGAGACATAATATAGGAGGAAACAATCCTTTCTCTTCACATCAACTAATTTCAAAGGTTAGGTTGTAATCACCCAAATCCTAGTCTCTATTAATAAACTACTATTGATTGTAATCATTAAGTTATTTAAATTTTTTAAATGCCCTCCATCTCAGAGATAATATATTTAAATGTAATATTTAAATCATGTCACTGTTTTGAACTTCATAAAAACTGAAAAATTACTAAGCCTTTTTCAAGTATTTAAAGTTATATTTCAAAATGTTTTAATTAATTAGAAATGGATAAACATTAATGTACTACTTAAAATTTTAGTGTTGCTTTTCAGACAGCAGCAGCAGTATAGTCATGGTTCCAAACTTTAAGAAGATCCATCCAGGTTGGATTATTTAAACTTGCAATAAATAGATGTATTTTCTTGGAAAAATATCTATTGTTACAGTAAAACTTGAGTTTCCTTTCTAACAAGATTGTATGATTACTCGTTTATATTGTTCTTTCCGCAGGAATTTACACACCCCCTGTTTGCATCCTGTTATTCACTTTGAGCTTCCCTTCGCTTCACTATACTGTTTCCCTAATAGTGGGAGATTGGGTCTAACGGCACACAAAACTACTAATCATTGTTAGCACATTCCAAGTCTCTCCATTTGCATTTATCATTTATTCAGGTCATAAGGGTTACTCTTATAATTTCATTCTCTTTGTGTTCTGAAATGTTGCATTGCCTTTCTAGATCACTGGTAGTCTGGAGGAAATTTGGAGATTAAAAAAAAGATTATTTTCATTTTCCATCTAACTCTATGTTTCTGTATCAAACAAACTAAGAACTGCTTAGGCTGAATGTACACCACTAAAACCCAAGCAAAAATATTTATAGGTTTCTTTAAATTTTGTATATTTGTATTTGTCATCCTGGAGGCAAAGAAAAAAAAATTAACTCGTTCAGGGCATAAGCAAGGCTAGGCTAAATCACTGCCTCTGACTCTGTAACATCCTTGTTAAAATATGGATTCTTGGGTTTTACAGAGAACTTACTTATACCAGCAGGTGCATACGTTAGAATATGCATTTTAAAAAGCTTTCTAGTATTTCTTATGCACACTGCTGCTTGAAAAAGATCTAACATTAAAGATAATGTAGTTGATGAAGGAATCATGCAAATAGGTAATAAGATCCTACTGTCAAATACACTGAACCAGAATAAAAACAGACAAACCCATTAATGAAGAGCTGAGAAAATGGTTTTTAACAATTCCATGATGAATCCTGTGTTAAACTATGACCTTCTTTAACTTTACGTGAGGCACTGAGTAACAGGACACATATCTAATCAAGTATATGTGTCTGTGTGTACATATACATGAACACACACACATAATGTACACATTAAATATATATTTGTTTATGTATATCTGTGTATGCTTCATACATACATTGATATGTATCTGCCTAGGTACATATATATATACACATATACTACTAAACAGAGGAAAAACCAATACTTTCTTTTTTAACATATATAATTTGATTCCCCATTATAAAGAGCAGAAAACAGAAAGGTAAAATGACTCAAGTCAATAAACCTTTATCAGAGTCAAGGAATAATGCCTCCCGTGCTTCTAGACTCCAGACTCTCTAAGGATGGCAACCACATCTTACACATCACAGAATCTGCCACCACATGGTCAAGCACTAAGCACAGCATGTGAGTAAATGCTAGGGATCAGGACAATATTCTGTGAAGCTGGGAGAAGGCCTGAGGTTACAATCTATGCAGTGGCTCCTAAACTTTAACATGCATCTAGCCCCACTACCAAGGATCCCACCACCAAGGGTCCCACCACCTTAGATAGCATAGGTCTAGGTTCGGGCCTAATAGTTAGCATTTCTAGTAAGTTCCCAGGTGATGCTGATGCTGCCTGCCTGGGTACTACAGTTTTAAGAACCACAGGTCTAGGAAAAAATCCTCAGTGCTTTGCTATGTAACAGTGCCCAGAATAAAATAAGTAATTATTTGGTCAGAAAAAACAATATAAGGAATCTAGAAACCTGAATTCTAGTTTCAACTAAGTCGGCAAAATGACTACAGCTAATAAACACGTACTCACAGACACATCATTGAATGCTGCTTAACTCCTCTCCCAAGAAAAAGGGCTTGGTATAGATGCGACTGAAAATTCAAATACTTTCTGTACAGGTCAGAGAAAATTTGTTTACTACGAAACTTTGAAATATATAATCTTTCCTGAAATCACTATCCTCAAATCTGTACACTGCCCAGAACACAACTGTTAAAATAAATAGCTTTTGTCCAAAAGAAAGAACACAGAGACAGGCAAGCAAGCAATCAAATAAATAAAAAGATGCTGAGACTAAACACGTCGCATTATGTAAACATAAATCTAAAGGGAAATTAACTGTTGCAATATTCTAAACACAAATTACCAATTTGAGTATCTATAAACGTGTTGTCTAGGCACTTCCTAATGACCTAGACTAGCAGGATCAGCACCATCTTGGAGCTTGTTAAACATGCAAAATCTAGGGCCACATCTAAAGCTACTGAACAAGAATCTACATCTTAACAAGATCCCTATGTGATCTGTAAACACATTAAAGTATGAGAAGCATTGACCGACATTGGCCCCTGAGATTTTATCATTAACTTGCTATAGTTAGTAAAATTATATGACATTTTAAAAAGACCATTTCCTTAAAAATTCGATTTCTGCCTTATCACAGATAAAAATTAAAAAATGATTTTACATGAGACAACAAACTGAAACATCATTTGCAAACAAAAACTTCCATTGTGATTTAAAGGTAACAAATATTATTCCAGCCACCTAGCTCAAAACCTTAACTTTTACTGCTGAGGAAACTGAGGTATGAGGATGCTACCTGGTTTGGTTAAAGCCAAATAGTTTTCAGTGACACAATAGAGAATAAAATCCAATTCTACTGACTCTTATAAGTAAATGTTCTTTCTAGTGAAAAAAAAAGTTTTAATTATATTTCTTGCTCTCAGTATACAATTAATGTAAAAGATTAGAAACACATAAGTTTGGGATAAAATGACATGTCTATGAAAACACAGAAAATCCAGCAAGATGGTGTTTTACCCCTTCCTTTTTTTTTTCTTAAGCAGAGACTTTTAAAAATTGAAGTAGAACGGACACTGGAATTGGACATAATCAATTTGAGCATAGCTTCTGAGTAGATGATTTTCAAAGAATGATACCATGCATCATTTCAGTGGCTGCATCAGTTTGATGAATAAAACCGGAAAATTGATTTTAAGACATAAAGCTGGCTTTGCCACTGAAGTTTTACTATAAAACAATAAATAAAATGTTTTCAAATATGGCTAATTTTTGTAGTTATTAACACAGAAACAGCCATATTTAATACCTTTTTTTTTTTTTAATACGTGATTGCAGACAAATTAAACTCTTCTGTCTTACCATCAAAGAAGCTCTTGGCTCTCAGGTAACTGACACTGAGCCTAAGAACTGAAAGTTTGTCCAACTTATTAATAACATCTTGTGGGAAAGGCAGCAGGCTAGCCAAACGGTCCAACTCTGTATTAAGTCGGTCTCTATGCCGCTTGGAAGGATTTGACTTGATTCCTTCAGCTGGGATTGGCTTTACTCTGAAAAACAAACAAAATACCATAAAAATCCTTTAAAAAGCAAAAATTTTTATTGCATTATAAAATATCTTCAAATATTTCTCTAATACAACAAACTTTTAAAGTCTATTTCAAGTTTACATAAAAGTGTTTCTTAAATCTTCCTTTCACATCTCAGTTACGAAAAACAAGGAAAGGGGTTAAATTCTTCCTAATAGTTCATTAAAAAGCTTATGAACTCATTATAGGAAAATGTTTACTTATACTTCATGCATTTATAGTATAGTGATTCCCAATTAACAGATCTATTGGGACTTTTTTCCCCTCTCAAATGCATTAGCCATTGTTAGGTGGAAAAAAGAGAGAAATCTGTGATAAATTATATGAAAATCATACTTCCTTTTCTATCTTCCACAGGAAGCCTCTCAGCATTATTGATGCTGTCAAGAAAGACAATCCGAAATAAAGTATTTATCTTCATATCACCAGCTTCCTGTATTTATTTACTTTCAACACATTAGATATAATGTCCCAAAGCCCCTCTGCCACCTGCAGATGGTCCTCCAGCCATCTAATGTGGTCCTCAAATATTAAAAAAAGAATAAATTTGACTTTTGTTATATTTCTTGTTGACAAATATTAGAAGTTCTGATTACTGACAACTTTTGCTTTTACATGTAGGCAATAATTCTACTTATTCATAGAGTATTCAAATATTTGTAGAATAAGTAGAATATCCAAATATTCGTAGAATAAGTAGAATATTCAAATATTCATAAGTAGAATTATTGCCTACGTGTAAAAGCAAAAGTTGTCAGTAATGACAACTTCTAATATTTGCCAACAAGAAATATAAATACATGTAAAAGCTTTCATAGTTTGTGTCTCAGAAAGTTCAATGAAACCCTAAACAATTCAGCATGATTTTCACCTGAGAAAAAAGACACTTACAGGTTAAAGAGGAATATGAGTTCAGAAATGAAAAACTGAACAACTTCACACGAAGCCCCTAGCCAGGATTTCATAGCAGACATTCATCACTTAAACTGAATTTAAGGATCATAGATACCCATGCTGAATTGGAAAACCAAAGTAATTTATACCCTATACCTCTATACCTTCCTATTAGCCAGAAAAGTAATTATCCAGCATTTTCTTACAACAAAGACATTTTTGACACTTCAAATGGAATTATATCAGCTTTTGTAAAGTAGACATTGGCCTGGGCATAGAGCTATTAATATGACCCAATCAAAACATTTCTAGATAATTTCTTTTCAATGACGTATGTGGACAAGTAATACTTTATGCAGAAAGATGATAAAAAGTAAATATTTCTACAAAAAACAGGTAATACATTGGCAAAATGGTGTGTGTGGGTGTGTGCATTTGTACAACTGTGTATATAAATAGAAATTGGTGATGGTTCCCCTAGCTATTTTCCACTAATTGTATTGTATTTATAAACAAATTTCAAGTCACACCTAATTATTACATTTCTCCACTTAACCAACTGAATTTCAAACTTTACCTTTAATGCTTGTCTACCTCACTGTGTAATTCTCTACTGGTTAATTAATAACTTCTTAAGTATTTATTTCTACCCAACACATACTGGACATCCCAGGAAAACACTTTTCTCCTAAATCTTCAAAAAGTGTCATGGCAGCTAAGCAGAAGCAGCAACTACTCGAAGAAAGGTTTTACAGAAAAGGTGGTATCTGAGATGGATCTTGAGGGAGGGACAGTATGCAGTATTTCATGAGGAGGTTTAACTAAGGACTGGTGAACTGTGAGAATTCCACCATCTGAAGGGAGAAGCACAGAGTAAAAGAGGCAGAAGATAGATGGTGAAGGCCACATTCCTTCAACAAATATTGAATACCTATCAAGTGCCCAGCACAGAACACTTACAGGCGAACAAAACATACAAAAGCTCCTGTTGTCATGGAGCTTGCATCCTAGGTGGAAGATGCAGAAATAAACAAATAATCATATAGCTTTCACGGCTCATGAGTGCTAAGAAGAAAAAGCAAGGTAAGAAACTAAGGGGTAACGGAGATGATGCTGGTTTGGACAGCCTGGGAAGGTCTCTCTGATGTGATGTTTCAGCACAGACATAAACAAAATGAAGTGAGCCATGTGGGTGTCTGATGAAAAAATGTTCAAGATAGAGGAGATAGCAAAGTAATGGTAGAAAATCAGACTTGGGCATCTGGGAGTCATTTTAAGTGTTGAGCTGGGATTTACAAGATTGGCCTTATGTTTTACCAAGCTGACTTTTGTGACAGAGAATACAGAAAGCAGGGCAGGGTTTGCTGAAGTTAGGATTCTGGGCCACCAGGAACTTCTTTCTAAAACACAAATCTGACTAAGTCATTCCTCTGATTAAAATCCTTCAGTAGCTCTGCACTGTCCACGTTCCTTAGTTTAGCACACAAAATCCTTCATGATTTTTAGCTTCTATCTACCCCTCTGGCTTCATTTCTTCTAGCCAAAGCCGTTTTTGTCTATTCTATCCCAGAGCTAAGAAATCACCTACAGTTACAAAATGTGCTTTGGTACTTTCATACAACGTCCTTGTTATGTCCCATCTGCTTCAAGTCCCACTCAAGTAGATCACTTTCGTGAAGTCCTTCCTGACCTGCCTCGCAATGGATTAGCTACTCTGCCCCATTCGGCTTCTTAGACAAATGTCTTATACAACCATTCCATTAAGGAATATTCCATACAAACAACTTCACATAAATAGAAAATGTGTATACAGCCCAGTCCTGCACTCTTGGTAGCTTTCCAGTAATGATTATGAAACAGTGGAGAGAAGAGAGTAACACAAACACTGAAGCAAGGAAAGCTGCTATCACAAGGGGAGAAATAATAGTAATGTGTCCCTTCATGTGCTACTGCTCCCTATCTTGTGCTAACTCTTTGCAATATTCAACCTCACACCAGACTTTGACACTTGTTTTTAATAATGTAAAACTGTCTACATTTCTACTGCATTACTGTGTATCGCATAAAATCACGAGAGCAAATTCCCATTTTCAAGTAACCTAATTGCTTACACTTGTTTGCCTGCCACCTTTATTCTATGTAAATGTAATCATTATCGTATCTTTAATGCCCAGCATACTACTTGACAGAGTGGACTCTCAATTAATGTTTGCTGACCAAAAGTGCCAAGAAAAGAAACGATCACAACCTGAACAAAGGCAGTAATAGTGAGATTAAGAAAGGAATGGCTTGAAGAGAAATTTAAGCCAGACCCAAATGTTCACTTAACTAAACTAACGTGGTATAGAAAGCAAGGAAGAGGAAAACATTGAGTGAGGAGAGGTTGCAAATGGTTCTGCAATTTGTAGCTTGGAAAAAACAGCTACAGTTCCCAATGAGAGCTATACCAAACAAGAAAAGTGGCTTGAGGACAGACGTCAGTAATACCAACATTTAGGTATAGGGCTGTGGAAGAGGCATAGACACAGAGGACAAACGATAAAACAGACAGAAAAAGAACCAGGGTAGAATATTTTGGAGGTCATAGAAGACAGTCAAATACACAGAGAAATTAAGGTCAGGGCTGAGAAGTACCCACTGGACTCAACAATTGGGCAGTTTTTAAAATGTCAGATGGTTAAAGCTAACAAAGGTAATGCATTTGACCCACTTTTTCACTGATTTTGTGAGAAATGTACAAAATTATTTTGTGAAAGTATTTAATATCTATCCATACATCTTGAATATATACAGAACGATTACAAATAGAGGGTAATCTTACATTAACTACACTTGACTTGGATTATGCTGTTTTTACTTTTATATTGTCTTCGAGTCTATACCAAAGAACACTGCTAACCGTTATTTAAGAAAAAGGTTATTTGAAATATAAATAAACATCCCTCTAAGACTGGATTTGGGAGCTCTAGAGTTCAAATATCTCCTGAAATAGACTGTATGATGTTGGTCAGGCAAAGGGGCAACACCTTATTTTTTGAAACCTTCATTTCAAAAATTGGTCCCAATCTGTAATCAAAATTATTACAAAATCAAGACTCTAGCTGACTGCATGCCATGCTTCTGTTTAGAAGCCCTGCAAGCTTTAGCTGCTGGTGGTACAGGCCCAACAGTATGCTCAATGCCAGCTTGAATTTTATCTTCAAAGCTCTTTTAACACCTCTATCAAAAATGTCTATAAGATTCATCATTTGTAGCAAGTGTTTGAAGCAAAGCTGAAAAAATTAACAACCTAGTTTAATCATAAATATAACTGTGTTTTATATAACATTTATCATTAAACCTCAAAATGACATGCAAAGATATGGTTTCAGTAATCCCATGAGATTAAAGTGACATTTTCTAACAAGAGATTACCTCTCACAGTACTGAGTTTGCTCTATCGGATTTTTTCTTGGAGTGCTTTAATCTATTCTTACTGCTTCAGTCTACTTACTCATTACTTGTTTATCTTTATTTCCAGTCCTGTACCTGAGTGCCCTCTCATTCACATTACCCAGAAGTTGGGCACTCCCTTCTCGGCACTGACTACGGTGCTACTCTCCATCCAACAGCTAGGAAATTTGAAGTATTCCTCAATAAAATCTCCCTAACATACTACCTACACCCCAAAAAGCCCAACTCTTAACCCCATTCATTCTTCATTTCCTGCCCCACAGCTTCAATGCATACATATTTATCTCTGAATATAAATTTCAAATATTTACAACCATAAACTATGTGCTTAATGTAACATTACAGAGGTGACACATAGCACAAATAGATCCCAACTTCATTGTCAGGCTGAATATGGCTAGATATTTTATTTCCCTATATAAGTCAAAAACATCTACAAAAACTTCTGAGAATTCTGGCTGGAAGCCACATGTAATGAGTCAGAAGACTTCTGCCACCCTCCTGCTGCTTCCATATAACTGTGATGAATTCTTTCCTTTCCCTTTTGTTTGCTACACCTAAGGAGAGATGACGAAATGTAAACAACACAAGACATCAGCAAGGAAAATCAGGAA